TTTCAAAAAACACATAAGGGGGGACCATTATGTGATTTTTTTCGACCAAAATTTTTTTTCGAGTTTTTTAAAAATCTTTTTTGATTAGACAGACAAAAAATCCAAAAAATTTCAAAATAAATAGTAAAAATTTCAAATTTTGAAAAAAGTTTTGGAAAATGTCTGAAATAGAAAACTTCATGGAATTTCAATAAATTTAACAGCAAGTTTCATTTTTAAGAAGTCCTAGAAGTTGAGAAAATCGCGATTTTCGGAACTGAAACGGATATACATAAGTCTGCTGAAACTGGCAAGGGGATGCTAAAATTTTCAGAAGTGTATAGATAGGCCATTCTTAAGGTATCCTGAATTTTTCATCAAAATCTGGGCTTACAATGTTTTTATCCAATTACCATAAAAACTCTAATGCACCCAAACAGCCAACTGATATATTTCATTTTCTGGGGAAGATATTCAAAAATGGCCAATCGACAAAATGTTTATCATAATATCATCAGTATTTTATCAGTTGAAAACTTTTTGATATCTTTCACATAAACCGAGAAAAATCAGATCTTCTAATACAGGCTTTACGGTAAGTCAATGAATTCGGTTAATTACATTTCTGGAGCAAAATTAATGTAATCTTGTATGTTTTTTCACAAGCAACACATCTTTGGAATCTAAAAAAGGAAGTCTCGAAAAACACAAAAGAAGCAAGTCGAAAAATAGATTAGGGTCGCGGCCTGGAGGTTCTTTTTTGTGGGTGTGGCGCATACGTGTTCCTGCCGCGAACGCTTCTACTTCCTTCACAATAGGCGAAGGAAAATAAAGAAAGAACGACTAGTGATGCCGTTTCAAACATTAAAAAACAGACAATTTTTTTTTCTTGAATTTTGAAAATGCATATTTTAATGGAATTCAGAGATTTATATATTTTTTGAGAACTTCCAAGCAAATATGACGATGACAAGGCTTATTCTGGAATTTCGATAAATTTTGGTCAAAATTTCAGATTTTCAAAAATTTAGAATCAGCGTTTTAAGAGCTTCCAATGAGTATAAACATGACCAGGTTTTTAATTTTTTTGAATTAAAAAAAAAAGAGTTTGGCGTCTAGCAGCCCTCTAGCGGCTCAGGCTTCCAGAAAAGACGACACGACTCGGTTCAATGAACATGACTGATCTTTTTTTCATTCATTCCAAGTATGTGTCAATCAGTCATTCCAAATATTTCTATTGGCAATGTATGCCTTGAAATCAGTCATACATATCCGATTATGAATATTTTAAGTTTAGCGACTGGTCAGCTTTTTTGAAAAAAAAAGGAAATCAATGAGATTTTTTTCAACACGGCGAGTAAGTTTACAGAGTGAACACTAGTTGAGAAAAATGAAGAAAAAGAAGAGAAGTATCAAAACAGAGTTGAAAAAAACGGAGAAAACACAGCTGACAAGCTGCTGCCCCGTTTTCTGTCCGCCTGTCCGGCTTGGTGTGTGCCCGGAAAGATTCAAACCCACGGGAATCGGACCAAAAAACAACAATTGATAGAGAAGAAGAAGAACAGAAAAAAATAGTAGGAAGATTGTCACCAAGCTAGATAAATGGGGTCAAAATTGAAAAAGGAAAAGATTGAAATGTGAAAATTCTTTATACCGTAAACACTCTAATAGAACGCCACCCGGACCGTTCACTTTGAGCCTAAATATCTCACTTCTTCTGAAAGATATCAAAAAGTTGTCAACTAATAAAATGTTTATCATGTAATGAGCAACATTTTATTAGTTAATCACTTTTTGATATCTTTCACAAAAAGCGAGATAAATTAGGTTAAACTTGAAGGGACCGTTCTATCACAAGTTTCGTGGCTCTCTCTCTCTCTCTCTCTCTCTCTTTCTCTCTCTCTCTCTCTCTCTCTCTCTCTCTCTCTCTCTCAAGTGAGATATATAGGCTTAAAGCAGGCGGTTGGGGGACGTTCTATTAAAGTGTTTACGGTAATTCGGAGAGAACACAATTTTTGGTGCCATTGGAGCACGAAGCAATTTGGAGGTACAAAATACCTTTTGAAATTCAAAATTTGTACCCCTAAATCACCTTGTGCCTCCTTGCAACCCTAAAATCGTAGTATCCTCCGGTTAGGCACATAACTCGGAGGGTACAACGATTCGGGGGGTACAAAGGGGTACACAGTGATTTAGGGGTACAAATATCACAACTCAAGGGTACAGAACTAAGTTTTTTCAGGTATTTTGTACCCCTGAAACCCCCTTGTAACCCTGAATCGTAGTACCTCCATTTCCGTGCCAAAAAAGAAAGATTGAAATGTAAAACTTGCTGATAAGCTAAAAGAGGTGAATTCAAAAAATCTTAACCACATGAAATGATGCTTTATGAACGTTAAGACAAGGGAAATACAAGAAAATGAATTTAGTCAGACATATCGGAACTTTTTGTTACAATTTCATCCTCATTTGCCGCAGAAAAAAACAACTCGTCGATCATCAACAGAAAAAAAGAGACTCCACCACACTGCTCGTCTTCTTTCTTTTTTCTGTCTTCCATAATCAACTCTCTCTCCTCTTCTATCTTTTTTTTGAGAAGTAAAAAAAACACGTGAAATATTTATTTTTTTTTGGCTTCCTCTTCTTTTATCTAACTACCCATAAAGCCTGTCAATCTCATTCAAGCAGCCCCTATTTCGATCACTTTATATTTAAGACTGATATAAGGAAATTCCAGAAATTGCGAGAATGATTTTTAGGGAATTAATCAAAATGTAAAGATATTAAAAATTTGTTTTCAATCAAATCAAAATATCGGCTGACTTTATAATTTCGGGAAAGGAAATCGAGAGTGGTTTTTTTTGTTTTTCTATGTCGGTTCTTGGAATATTCGGGAAAAAAAACTTTTATAGCTGGATAATAGCCATGTGAGGGCGTTTAGTGAAAACTGAGTACCGCAATTTGAGTAGTTTAAAGGCAATTGTTGAAAGAAAAAAGAAAAGGGAGTGGAAGAAATTTGAACTTTCTATGCGACACCAGTAAGCTAGAAAAGGTTTTTAAAGATCAGGAAGTTTCTAGAAAATTATATAGAGTCCAGGCCTTAGACTCTAAAGTCCAGCCAAGCTTGAACTTGAAAAAACGGTGACAAAATTCTGTTGAAGTTATTGCAATCATTCATTTTAAATGTGTCCCAGAGGCTCCATTCATTCTGAACATGATTGATATATCTCTGGTGTTTCGCTGGCAAA